AACTATGTTTAAAATATAGGGTTACTTAAGCATCGTATGAATTCAAACTGATTCATACCATTGGCTTCTCAAACTCTGTTGTCCCTGAATTTCAGATAGGGGTTCTTCTTCCTGTCCCTGGTGATACAGAAAGCCTTTTTAATAGATGTCTGTGTCTCAACTGAACAACTCTTAAGTTCAACTCCCAGAAATTCCAACCAGAATTTCAAGAAACACTGCCTTATTCCCTTAAGCTATCACTTAGCAATATCTAGGGAGGTCATGTATAACACTCATGATCTTCTGTAGAGGAGTATTGGTAGTCTTGAGGAGTTTAGTAACATATTTTGATTTCTCTTTTATATTAAGAAAAATCATTTTGAGCTAGCCTGCTTGGATTTTTACTGAATAAACAAGATGAGGGGATAATTATGTAGTTTCAAGGTTTTTTTCACTGTGAAAGCCTTAGATTTTCAATTCTCATCCCAGATCTATTGCCAGCCAGTAACTGTTAGGTCTTGCAATCTCCTGATGATAGCAGGGCCATAAAATTAGCCAGATTTTAATAATAACCTTGGGGTTGTTTAGCGCTTCTGCACAGATCCAAGCTAGAAATTGGGGACTGTGGAAACTAGCTGCCCTCAGGGTATCTCTAGTATCATTAAGGAGCTCCTGGCAGTTTATAAGAGATGTGGATATTATCTTGCTTGATATGTTTGCTTTTTATGTTTTGCTTTTTAACTCTGTTTGCCTGAGCAAACAATAAAGCTTAAAGCATCTTTATTCACTGGTATACTTATTGTCTCTGGATCCAAAAGAAGTAATTGCTTGGGCACCTGATCACTGCCCTGCCATTTGGCAAAATGTCTTCCTAGACTGAGCTGGAAGCATTGCAAATAATTTCTCCATGTGTCCACAATGCAAATGAAGACTCCTCACAGTCAAGAATGCTACTTTGTCAAGCATTCATGCATCAGTGTTTGAATATACAGAGGTGGATAATGACAAGAATCATCCTACTGGGATTTACAGTATTAATGATTTCTGGCACTGTTGATCCCAATATACACATTTGTTCTTTTCATCTTCTAATGTACTATTGTTTCATTTCAAGGAAGGAAGGAAGGAAGGAAGGAAGGAAGGAAGGAAGGAAGGAAG